TTTAAACTAAATTCACTACAAAATAAGACTTGAATATAATAAAAAACCTCAAATCAAATCCATAACAAAAATGAATGTCAAATAAATAAAGCAACTGAACTAATAAATATTAAAATACATAATATAAGATAAATTCACTAAAATATTATAATAAGAGAAAACTTAATTTTAAACTGAATTCACTACAAAATAAGACTTAAATATAATAGAAAATTTCAAAACAAATCCATAACAAAGATGAATGTCAAATAAATAAAGCAACATTACTAATTCATTTGTTTTGGCTTAAATGAGGAGCATCTTCATCAAAATAAACATTTAGCACCCGGAAGTCATGCTCACCATTACTATCTTCAATTCTATCACCAATTGTTTCTAATTCAATTCCTTTACTAGAACCACAAACTTCCTCATCAACTTACTCTTCCTTAATACCTTGAAATTGAAATTGTAGAATTATGCAACAAAAACAAATGTAAAAAATAAGTCATAATGGTCTATTCATTAAATGATATAATGATATAATATATTAAAAATTAAATTAACTAGTAATGACCAACCTTCTTTTTTATTGATATGACAAATTGAAATTGCTCCTTCATTATAAATCATATTTTCCAATTTATTATAATCAAGAATTGGAGAATCATCTTCTTTCAATATCCAATGGTCAACATGATCTATGCTCTCATAATCAATAGGATCAAAGCAAGTCTTCTTCTTGCTATCAATCCTATAATTCAAGATTTTTAGAAATTAGTAAAAAGATTTAATTAATAAAGTTTAAGTAAAAAAAAACTATAATTTAAATAAACATAAATAAAATACATATTTTTCAAACACAAATTATAACGTACATAGACAAGATCATTTAATCTTTAATGCTCCAATTTATTTCTTTTCTTGGTGTGTATCCATTTAAAAACACTCTAATTTCTTTCACAACCCGAAGATGATGAAGTTTGGCTCAAGAGTTTAATAACCAAAATTTTAAGAGTTGAAGCACTATATCCCAAATATTTTCACCACTCATCTATCAAGAAGACAAAAAATATATAAAATGTTAGAGAATTTATAATTGAAAATGTTTTTCATAAAAAATATTAAAATTATAAATTAAAACTTAAAATCTTACCAGGTTTCATATCTTTTGAAGATTCAAGAACATTTGGACGAGCAAAGCTTTCCAATCTCTTTTCATACAACTCACATTCATTCCAAAATTTTGTCTTTTGAGAAGGAATTTTTGTATCCACAACATCTATAAACCCTTTCATCACTTCTTACTTGGTACAAAAATGATCTTTATCATAAAAGAAAGAAGGATTCAAGTACTAAGCAGCAACATGGATACTTTGATGAAATTGCCTATCCCACCTTTCCTTGATAATTCTTGTATAAGGCTTATATAAAGATTTCTTATTCATCAACATAGTCTTAATTGTCTTTCTAGGCCTAAACATACCATCATAGACATAGCCAAGAGAAGGCCTTTCATCACCATCAACAATTCTAAGTAAGTGCATAAGTGGCGCCACAACTTTCACAACAAGTTGACAATTACTCCAAAATTTGTTATCTAAAATAACATCTTTTAACTTTGAATCTTTGTAGTATCTAGACTCTTTAAATTCCAAACTAGTAACCAATGCTTGTAAATCATGCTTGTTATCAAGAGTGCTTTTCAATGCAATGAATGTAGTTGCAAAACGTGTTGGCCCTGAACGTATAATTTCAATCCACCCTTCTCTTTTTCTTAGCCAAGTTAAGAGAAAAGCATGGTTATAAATAAATTTAGTCACTAATGATGCACTAGTTGCCAATTTACTCACAACATCCAACTTGCCAATATCACTTAATATCAAATTCAAGCAATGCGCAGCACAAGGAGACCAAAAGATAGTTGGATATATGTCATTTAACATTTTGCTAGCTTTCTTATAATTAGCTGCATCATCAGTGACCAAATGGACAACATTACTAGCACCAACAAGATCAACAAATTCTTTAAATAAATTGCAAAGCATGCTAGCATCTTTGACCACATCAGAAGCATCAACAGATCTTACAAAAGTTATCCTTCTAGGACAATAAACAAGAAAATTAATCAACTGTTTATTTTTTTTATCCTACCAACAATCATCCATAATCGTACAACTAGTTTATTCCCAAACCTTTCTATAAGAATTAACCAACAATTGAACCTCCTTTTTAAAATCTTTCAAAAGACTAGTTCTCACAGGATGATAAGTTGGTCCTTTATAACCAGGACCAATTGCAACAATAACATCGATCATAGGTTGAAAATATGGGGAATTAATGGCATTTATAGGAATGCAACTATCAAAGAAGAATTTAGCAATAGCTAAATCAGCCTGATGAATATCTTTTATACTTACCATTGCACTCCTAATTGATGGTTGGGATCCAAGAGTTGTCCTCGGAGCAAAATAATTATGCAACCCACTTGCCTTACTTTTTTACTTTTTTCCATGGTAATTGCTATTCCTTTTACTTTAACTTAAGAAGGTGGAGCAAGAATCTCTTGCAAGTCAGCATCACCAAATGGGCTATCTTTCCATTGATTTTTAGATTGCCTCTTCATTTCTTCAAATTCCTTAAAACTTTCTTGCATTCGGAAACATTGTGAGGCACCTTGTCTCATTTTTTTACATCTCCACCTTTTCCAACAAGGTGTTGTTTCATTCTATTTATTTTTCCCCCTTTAAACAGTTTTTTGGCAATGCAAGCATTGCAATGGTTTTTTATGTGCCTTCAACTTCAATACAATACTCCCATGCAATATCAGCTTTTCCTCTACATGATTGTTGTGATTGTGTAGTCGCAGGAGTTTAATTTTGTCCGGAATATGACATTTTCTTATAATTTACATAAATATATAAAATTATTAAGAAAACCTCTAAATCCAAGTATGACAAATAAAAATTTATTTGAATTAAAAATGCTACATTAAAATTTAAAATCAAGGCATAACAAATTAGGCATAACAGATTAGAAAAAAAGAAAATCAAGCATCAAATATTGATATTCATAATTTCATACATAATTTTTCTAAATCTTACACCAATACTAATTAATAAATAATTAATTTATATTAACAATTAACAAACTTGTAAAACGTGTGAATTTGAGAATGAATTTCAAGGTAAAGCTAAAAATCTTACTGAAATCAAATGCCCAAAAGGAGAGAATGAGTCATGGAGTCACACGGACTGCCTCTGTTGGGATGATCTATTTGGTCTGGTGAAAGAGAGGAAGATGAGTGGCGAAAGTGTGAGGCTGTGAGCTTTATCAGGATGCTGCCCACAGAGGAGAGGTGTTGAGCTGCCGATGGAGATGCAGGGAGATTAGGCTACTCTGTTGCTTATGTTCAGTTCAGTGAGGGTGGTGATCACAGCGACAACAAGCATTCACGATATGCATCTATGGTTGAGTGCTGGAGGACAGAGAGGATGG